ACTGGTAACACACGGGAAAGTCCACAAGCGCAGCAGCGTATGTGGCAAACTGCAGGACACTGGCTCCCCCTGCTGGTGTGAGAGTGAAAAGTCATCCCAAAACTCATCCCAATGTCATTACAACTCGTGTGGTTTCATGGTGACTGGATGGTCAGTAGCAGTAGCGGTCAAAAACACAGCTTAGAGCTACTACCGCTGGTAAAATACTGAATTTTTTACTTTTTTTTTTAACCATTTGTGGGAAATGAGTGTTGAATGCGAGCATTACATGGACAGACACTTATTTTTTCAATAGCTTCTTTCGCAGCTGTTTCTCACAACATCTCTGAACACATTTCTCAGCTCTTATTGGCATTTCGTCATTATAAATATAAAACAGGGGAACTATCTCACCACAACACAACAAGCGACTGAAAACCCTAACTAAATTCTGATTAAATTTCCACTCCTGCCCCACATTGGTTTTTTCTGTACATCTTAGGCAAGCAAGTTTAAAAAAAAAAAAATGGCAAAAAATTAAAATTTGGACATACATCTAGCACCCCTACATTCAGCGACTTGTTGTCAGCCATTTATTGCTGTAGCGCTCAGCAGCCCACGTGTTCACAGTATGTTTATAGCTTATAGAGAATTCCTCAAACTCTGAGCGTTTGCCTTTGAATCCGACGTAAACATTGAGTGGAATGATTGAACGGAAGAAGGGCAGCTGTCGCGACGCAGAAAAAGCTCAAGCAATAGTTTTGAAGACAAAAGCAACGGCAACGGTACAGCTCAGCGAGAGAAGGACGATCCCAGATTCAGTTTCCATGTCTGATTTTGATAGCTTTGGCCTTAAAATCACTTTTCTGTCTTAAAAAAAAAGAATAAAACCAAGACAATGACTGTAAATGCTTTGCTGCAGATGAATGACAAACTGTAAATTGATTTACAGATTCATTCAAATATTGCAACATTATCGTATCTCACAAAGAGCTGATTCCCCAATGAAGCTTCCTTAAGGTAATTACTGTGTTAACTCCACGTGATAGGTTTCCTCCAGATGCTCCGGTTTCCCATAACACCAAAAATAAAAGGTAACAGGTAATATTATCTCCAGCTCGGGTTCTGTCTAGAGACGGGGCGCGGGACAAGGGTGACCACAGCTCCTGACAGAGGCCCTGGTGGTACTGACAGAGACCCTGGTGGTGTTACAGGACGGGTCAAATGCAGAGGACACATTTCCATCCCAGGAAAAGTGAAAGTAAACATTTTGAATTCACTTCACAGTACTGTTGCAGTACTAAGATAGCGGTGTGGATACTAAGATCCAAGTCCTTTTCGACACCAGGTACAAGTTATTTGTCTGTTATACTGATATATGTAAAAAATATGTATTGTGCAGGTAAATAATAAATAAAAATGAAAAGTAAAAATAAAAGAACTTGCAACTCAATACTAGTTTTGATAGCAAACCCTGATAACGAGAATCCAAATATTAAACTAAACTAAACTAAAATTAACCACCATGATTTGGAAAATGAAATGCAATCTTTACATCAAATAACACTACACCAATCATCCTACTGTATAATTTGAAGGTACCACAAGGTTTTGTACTAGTTCTGAGATCAAAATAATAAAAACTGCTCAGTTAATTTTACTATTAGTGCCATTTATGAATCTTTTCAATAATTATATACACTGCATTTTGGAAAGTAGTATTTCTATTGTTCTACATGTTATTGTTGCTTCTTTTGAAGACACAGAGGTATGTTTTAAGGCCAAAGCTACAAAGGAGTTCCATGAAAAGCCTTAATGATTGCGAGTACGGTATGTGCTCTACGGATCCCAGTGTAACGGAGGCTTCTATCTGCCAAGCAACATCCAAACGACCTCGTAGTAACAACAGCTTCAAAAATCATATAATAATAATAGAAGCGATGACACAAGCGCGACCAGACGGACCACAACCCACACACACGGACACGGACACACACACACACATACATACACACACACACACATACACACACACACACATACACGCCGCTAGCTCCAAACGTGGCCGTGCTGTGCCTTGGCTTGTCAGAAAGTGCGGTGCTAGAGCCTGGATCAGGACAGACACAGGGAGCTCGGCTGGGGGGCCAGGGTGCAGACCGGGGTGGGCAGTCCGTAGTGGGAGGGGTCCGTGAAGGGGAAGAGGAAGAGGACGAAGAGGACCACGCCCAGGAGGTAGGAGGCCAGCACGATGTGGCGCTGCGGGTGCTCCAGGGCCGCGTTGATGGCGGGGAACCCCATGTAGTTGCAGAAGGAGTGGCAGAGCACGGGGCCCATCAGGTGGCCTGTGTGGGGGAGAGAGGTATGGTCAAGTTAATCGTCTCCAAGGGAAATGTGCAGTTTATTTACGGTACATTTGCGGTATATTTGCGACATAATTGCGGCACATTTGGAGTATATTTGCAAGTTAATTTGCGGTGTATTTGCGGAATACAGTGCTACACAGATCTGTATGAATGATTACAACTAAAAGAGTAACACTACAGAAAAAAAAAACAGAATAGTCCATTCTAATTTGGTCTACTTGGTCTACTATGAAAATAAATAATAGGTCCTGGATAAAAACCCATCCAGGACTTGGATCAGGCTGGAGCAGACCAGATACAATCTCTGTGGACTGGAGACATGACTTGGAGATGGTACAAAAGACAGTGTGGCAAAATGTTTAGAAGCTAGATATTTGTGGGCATGAAATCACAAAAATGCTATTACCAGGGAAAAGTGAACCTTGGGAATTGAGAGTTTGATTGAGCTTGAATATCAAAAGTATTCAATTATCAAAGCCAATCCACTTTATTTTTACATAGCACGTTTTATAAAACAAGCTTCCAAAGTGCTGCACAGAGATAAAAGTAACACATTTAAATATACAGGTTTGCCAGTTTCATGTTTAAAAAAAATAAAATGAAAAAAATGAAAAAGTAGAACATTATGTACACCGTAAAAACAATAGAAATAATAAATCAAAGGGTAGCGTTTCAGACTTATGCAGCTAAATTCTGGAACAATCTTCCTGAAAATGTGATATATGCTTCTACTCTGACAGTTTTCGAATCTACATTTTATGCCAATATTCTAATATTCTATTATGTCCTGGTTTGATTTTTCCAGTTACTTCTACAGGGACTGGTGAACCTGAACTGACCGGGGGGAAAAATATGTACAGTATTTTCTCTGTTTTTCTGTATTGGGAGTATTTCTGTGTTCATTTATGGCATATTTTTGGACTAATTGACATCATTGAAAGGCTTTTGAGAGGGAAAAATAACACGACCCAAGCTTTTGAACATTACATAATGAGTAAGTGACTGCATTTATTGAGTGTGTCTCAGAGGCGAGCTCAGGAGAATACTTTCAAAGCCACATTTCAACATTTCTCGAGAGACGAAAAGGAAGATGTGAGACTCATTAAAATCCCGCCTCTGTCCTATAACTCCACTCTCTCTCCATTCACGTCTGCGTTCGACTTTTAAAACGTCTCGTCCATATTCGTCGGGCGGAATTTAATGGAAAATGTTGATTCACCAAAAATAATGAATGAAAACGCCATCACTCTTATTGACTCTGGTCCTGCTACTTTCACTAATGTGGTGTTAATGAAATCAGTTATTATTGAACCATGTTGCATAAGCGCGTTTAATAATGGAGGCGGCCCATTAGAACGCCAAAGGAAGCCCAAATTACTTACACTCACACACACACACAATTCATGGCTAGAATACGTCTCTAACTTGTACTATTGAGCTTCTGTGTCCCATTATTTTTCTGGTAGAGTCTACCGGTAGCATTTGGACACATTTTCTAGACACCTTAAGACTCCTTGCTTATGTGACTAGTTGTGTTTGGAGGTTTAAATTTAATCATGTTCATAATGAGACAATGTATGAAATTTGACTTATCTCCAGGTAGCTACAGATTGCACTATTTGTATGTACATTTTAAGTTATATTATCCTACACCGGCTGCTGTATGTACGGACTGTAACCACTTTCTGAATGTCGAGGTGTGGAGTGGGGTCTGAGGGAGCAAGTGTTTTTTTGAATTGTATTATTACTTCCTGGACTATTAGGTGTACTGTAGAGAAGCCGCACCAGCAATATTGTGTCCACATATAGGACGCACTTGAATATAAGAAAACTCTGCACTGCTATGTAGCTCCCAAGTGTCTTTTAATTACAGACCACGTTATAAAAGACACTTGGGAGCTACATAACTGTGCAACTGTGCCTTATATGAAACCGCACTTGAATACAAGTTTTAAGTTGTATATTTGTTGTGTATCAGAGAGATGCTTTACTTTGCTTTGCTTTTTTTAGACAGGCTTTCTTGCCTGACTGTTCATAGGCCTCTGTTTTTCTGTGTTTTTGTTTTAATTCTGACTTGTATGTGTATTTTATGTGTTTTAATCATAGACTGTAAATATTAACGGACGTAGTCACGCCTATTTCCGCCGTTCAAACAAATGGGCCAAAAATTGTGCTCTAATGGAGCTATCCAAAATGGCAGCGAGTAGCCCCGCCCACAAGAAAATTGCGAAAAAACGAATCTGCGCATAAGTCAGCCGGCGAGAGCTCCATTCATTTGACGAGTGTCTTCAAAAATTCACAAAAACTAAACTAGAGTGGTCCAAAGAAATTCACTCCCCTCAGCATTGACACACATGTGGACCATCCTGTAAAGACGTTTTTGAGAGGTAGGAAGATGCTATATGTTAGCATTGGCTAATTCTTATTCCGGGTCCACCCCCATCGGCCCGGGGTGGTAATAAAAGCATGTCAGCGCCATTTTGGCCTTTTTTGAGCCGGGACCCGCCCCCACTGGTTTTAATGTGTGAAACGCTTTGTGATCCTGGTCTGTGAAAAGCAAATAAACTTTACTTACTTACTTACTTTGTGTTTAGCAGCTTCACCGTTAGCTTCAATGACTCCTTCACCATCATCTATCTTGACAATAAACGAGTGTCCTGTAGCTACTAAAACTTGGATGAAAATAATAAGTCCATAAACTCTGCTCTGACACATCCACCATAATAAAAAAAGACACATATTAGCTGCGTCGCTATATAAGCTGCGTCGCTATATAAGCTGCGTTGCTATATAAGCTGCGTCGCTATATAAGCTGCGTCGCTATATTAGCTGCATCGCTATATTAGCTGCGTCGCTATATTAGCTGCGTCGCTATATAAACTGCGTCGCTATATTAGCTGCATCGCTATATAAGCTGCGTCGCTATATTAGCTGCATCGCTATATTAGCTGCATCGCTATATTAGCTGCATCGCTATATTAGCTGCGTCGCTATATTAGCTGCGTCGCTATATAAGCCACGGGGTTGAAAGAACTAGAAAAAGATTTAGCGGTTTAAAGTCTGGAAAATACGGTACGGTTTCTGAATATAGCATTGTTGTAGAGCTGTGGAGTGGGTCTGAGGGAGCAAACCTGTGTGTGTTGTAAATGTAAATTGTATGGTATTCTATTGCGTTAGTTTTATGTTGATTGGACCCCTGTCTCGCCCCAGGTGATGTCGCATCTCAAGGGGCTTTCCCCAAGTAAATCAAATCAAATTGAATAAGCGGCGAGCCAGAATGAAGCTGATCGTTAAACCACAAAACCAAAGTGCTGTAAATCATGTGGTTTTTCTTTCCGGATGCTTTGCTTGATCCAAAAATAAAACCGACCTGTTCGGAGAAAGATGAACGCCGTGTACGCTCCGAACACCGCTGTGTACGAGAACTGGAACACTGCCAGACGGGAGAAATAATCGTTAGACAAGAATATAAAACACAAATCAATCAGAGGTTGTTTATTTTTCTCACCTGCGGATAAGAAAATCCCCGACAGCGTGCTCTGGCGAAAACGCAGCAGCTCGATCACGTGGTGGAAGTGGGCTGCAATGAGATCAGAGTGAGAAAACTGTGGTAACAGAAGAACTCAGACTACTATAGTCTTTTCATTTTATTGTACCGTATTTTTTGGATTATAAATGGCTCCGGATTATAAATCGCACCAGCCAAAAATGCATAATATAGAAGGAAAAAAACATTTATAAATTGCACTAAAGTCTAAGTCGCACCTACAGCTTGTGCGTTTTAATGACCAAAATACATTTGCTAATACAAATAGAACACTGAAAAATCGATGGGTGGTCAAATGATACACTAAACGCTCTTCTCAATAGCTGAATCGCTTATTTTACGGTAAATAAAATATTAAATTTAATAGTTTCCCACATGAGTCGCTCCAGAGTCACACCCCCGGCCAAACTATGACCAAAAACTGCAATTTATATTCCAAAAAAAATACGGTACTTGATACATCTTCCACATCTTTCACTTTTTAACATGTTTGCACACTTCCTGTTTTTGCAGAACCTGAGTGATCCTATTTATGCCAAATGGGACATGCACATTTCTCCATTGTGAGATTAATAAAGTCTATCTTATCATATAAAATGATTAAGTAACAAGATAATAAAAACACAATCAAATAAAACTCTGGAGCTATCATTACAGAGTATTTTTACAGAGATGTTTATATTGGACTCAAGCAGCAGAGAACATGACCAGAATAAACAATAGATATAATAGCAGCAGGTAAAGTGACTAGTGAATTATCAGAAAAGAAATATCAGATAAGTGGATATGTAATAATGTAGTCATAATAAAAACAACAGGTAAAGTGACTAGTGAATGAATGAATAAAGTTTCTAGTTGAACTGGACAAACACAAGACGACAGTAACTTGAGGAGAAAGCCTTTAAGAACTCTCTGTCAGTGAGGATTCCAATGCAATCTACAGGCGGTGACTAATACGGTTAAAACCTCATGTTAAATTACAGGTTGCATGTTACTCCACCTGAGCCGTCGCCATAGCAACACACCGCATTGAGCACAAACACTGAATTGGCCAGGTCCATTATTCAGCAGAATCTTGAATCAAGCTGCTAAACTTGCTAAATATCTATTCATTTGTAAAATCTATGGGTAAAATGTAGGGGAAATTAGCTTTTTCTCATTGGTGCGTGTGTGTGTGTTTTGGTCATGACAACCGTTGCTAAGGAGTTTGTGCTGACTCTTGGCTAAAAAAAGTAGTCCCTTTCCTCAAACATGCTTTTGAGAGGGCAGAGGACAAAATATAAACATATTCAGACATGATATGAGTGTGTGAGTCCAGTCTGAACCTGAAGACTTGAGGAAATGGGTGGTCTAGTGTGCACATGCTTTGTTGGAATGAAAACCCGCAGCCACACCAGCTCTTTGAGGACCAGATTGACAGCCCTGCATGGCTTTGACTTGTTTAATACTTACTTAATACCTTTGTTGAGCACATTTTGATACATTCATATACTTTTTATATCTCTGTTGTTGCATTTTGAATTTACCTACATTGTCACCTTAAAAGCCCCTGAAAAACTGAAAATCTATAAAAGCTCCAGATCAATTATGCCAAAACCTTCACCTTTTTTATCTTTGACACTGTGCTATATGAAAACAACAGTGCTGTAAAACAAATATGCTGTATTAAACCTTGAAATATAAGCTCACCGACTCCAAAGAAGAGCGGACAGGTGAAGCTGGCGGTGAGCGGCCCGGCACAGGGCACCAACATGGGCAACATGCAGGCGCGGAACACCAGCTCCTCCGTCAGCGGGGCCACCACCTGGTTCCTGAGCCAGCGCATGTCACTGAAGCACAGGGACCAGAACCACGGGTCTGCAGCGACAAGGAGGTTTAGAGGAGCAAGGGTGGATTAGAGACCAGTGTTTAGGGCAGAAGTCTCACCACAAGCTACTCTTATGCCATCCATGAAACTCCAGGGACAGTCCATGGCCAGCTGCGTCAGGGGCCCCAGGAACAAGACCTTGAATACAAAACAGAAAATGTACACCTGTATTTATTATGAGGCCATATTAAAGATTATGGCAGAAGAACACATGTCCAGAGGCAACAGGCATAATAAAATCCGGCCCACAAGACCATTTTTAGTGGCCTCTGGAATGATTTCCAAAAGGGATGCATTGATTGTAATGGATACATTGGCTGTTATACTTCAGTTTAAAAGTTTTTTATCTCAGGTAAACAGCCATATCATGAAATCTGTTCTTAAAAGTGAAACTGAAATGTAAGTAACAGTTATAGTTAGTTAATTACTTATTTTTCTTATTAACTATCAGTCTACAAATAAATCTCTTCTTGACGTTTGGCCAGTTGTTGTTGATGCCAAACCTACGGGAAAATAATATCCAAACTCACGTTAATGTTAATTTGAATAAAGACCAAAATATGCGAAAGTGTTTCTTTGACCAGGTCTTATTTTTGTCAGGGGCCAAGTAAAAAAAAAAAAAAAAAAGAGTTTGACACCCCTGTTACACAATTATAAATTCAACTTAAGAAAAAAAAAGTATGTCCAAAACTTGTTTCCATTACCATAGTGAGCAGTAGTGGAAATATGATGGCCGGAATGAAGCCCTCAAACCGGATCCCCATGAGAGCCAGCAACGAAGGGGCTGTCTGTAATAACAGCAACAGTTCAGTCGGTTTATAATACATACATTCATAACAATGATATAAACAAGAATTTAAAGTCAAATTCTTACCCTGACCCCAGCGAGCTCTCTCCAGGCCCAGACAAACAGAGGAGACAGGCCTGACACCACCAGCACACTGGTGAAGCGACGCTTTATCACAACAGGGTGGTCCCTGCGGTTGTCAACAAGTCACAAACGTCAACTTTTCTTTTTGTTTTCTTTAGAATGGATTACAATGCATTAATTCTAAGCTATGACTGGTAAAGAAAGCAAATTAATGCAATAATTCTGCTTTTTGAAAACGATTAAATTGAATAGTCTTATGTGAGTCATGCAAAACAGGGCGGTAAACAAAGAACAGCGAGTTTCCAGGAAAGACACAATTAAATTACCCCGCCCTTTATGAGCTTCTTTCATTAAACAGTGGTCTGCGGCCATCTGAACCAGGAGCAGAGTCGCCTGCAGCCACAAGGGACGACTCAGGACCCAGAGGAGAGATGAAGCCGAGGCTCTAAACCTTCAGGCCCTATGAACCAGACCCCACAGTCTCAACCGCTCCCAGTGCAGAGGACTACTCCAGAGGAAGCAGTGGAGGACAAACGCTATCAGTAAGATATTATGTAAACACAATGCACTAGAACAAATGCACAATACATCTATCCATCCATCTATCGATATTTAAACTAGTCAAACACTGCCTCCAGTAGGAAGGTCAGGAATATCACAATATCACACCCTAATGGCTGTTTTTCACTGTTAAATCAACAAACAGGCAGGTGTGGACCTGAAGTGGAGGCTGTAGGGCCATCATTCACCACTATGCGGCGCTAATGCGAGGTCCAAAAATAACAGCAGTTGTGTCTATGAACAGCTGTGAACTGAATATGTCATCTTTTATAAATATCCACAGGTACATCCGTTCAGTGAAGACAAACAGATAAACCACATATCAACACGTGTGTAGTGTGTAGCTGTAATAACACGGCTGTGGATGTAGTGATGATCCACACGTAGGACGTGTACGTCTGTCGTACCTGGGCAGGTCGCTCCTCCAGATGTACAAGCTACCCACATAGGAGCAGGCCAGCAGCAGGCAGAAGAGCACCGACAGCCAGCATAAACCCTCCGGAGCTACGAAGTCTCCATGTCCGTAGAGCTGCTCCTGCTGTGGGGACAACTTTAGAGATAAATCCTCCTCTGGTGCCATGGTGCCTGGTGCTGGTGGTTCCGTGTACGCTCTCCGGCTGCTGGACCCGCTAACAGGGTACAACAGCGGCCGACATGAGCAGCGAGGCCGGGGAGCAGTGATCAGTGAGCAGGCTTCAGTCAAATGGAGCTAACCCGATTAGCCACTTAGCTCAGGAGCCGCGGCGCTTTCTGTTGACGTCATCAAATGTTTGTAGTGTTTCATTTCTGTGTCGAAGTGCAGCGCTGCCGCCTGGTGGTGATGAATGGGACTGACTGTCAAGACTTCTTTCTGTCACATAGGCAGACACAACGTGTGTTCAGGCCCGATGCATCTATCCACTCACTGAGTTCATAATGTAAACACTATCCTTCACTTCAAGAGGATGACTGAATGTTCAAGGATAGATACAGCAGGATCTCAGTGGCTCATGTGACTATATGCGACTTGCATGTAAACTGTAATTGTGAGACTAATTATAAGGATGTCTGGTCATGTAATAGTTATATTATTATAATCATGTAGATGACAGTGAGAGTACATAGTTTATGTTTTTGACTTGTGAATTTTACTAGATTTTGTTTACTGATTCATTTTTTGATTTTCTTATTTTATATGTATACATATGTTATTACTTCTAGGATTATTCCATCCATCCATCCATTTTCTACCCCTTAATCCATTTCTGGGTCAGGGGGGTGGCAGTCAGAGCTGCACCCAGTACACACATCTAGGATTATTTGGATATATACATGGCCTATTATGTCTTGCCTTTTGTTTAGATGCCCGTGTGCCCACTAAGCCCTCAGGGGATAACATTTCAGTTGAAACCACATATCATATTACATTAATAACATATTACATTAATGTTTGATGTTTTGTCTTGATGGAACTTTTGCTTAAACGTCTCCTTTTTTAGATAGTTTGCGTGTGAATGCAGTCATTTACTAAAACACACATGACCATTGAATAATTAACAAAACGAATACAGCGTTTCCTTTTGTTCCACACGTCACGTGATGGTGGTGCATTAGTAGAAATGCCACAAAGGATGGCAGTGTTTACCTGGAGCCAGACACGTAGTGATTTGTGGAGAGGAGAGGCCGAGGAGGGAGGGGAGGGCAGGGGAGGGGGCTGAGGGGCGTGTCGCGCGCTGTCTCCTCTCTCCTCCGCTCTTGCACGGTCCACAGTCGCTTCTCGCTCCAAAGCCGTACACGTACACGCACCGTGTGTCCATGACGTGAGGAGAGGGAGAGGCGATGTTATCCTGCACTGCTGCTCCATCTGTCTCCTCCTTCACAACAGTCTTCTTCTCGAGGCATCCCAGGCCGTACGGGGACTGACATCCCCTTCACCCCTACACACACCCACCCTGACGAGGAGGCATCACCGCGGAGCAACCATCAGTGGGTAGGGCCCTGTTTTTATTGTACTCTGGCTGTGGATGAAGGATGCGTGAGAGGGCTCCCTTTGATTGGCGGATGCTTGAGTTTAGAAGACAAATACATGTGGGTTATGATCAGTTATTGCTATATTCTATACACGTTTTGTTCCATTATTTACATCATCTATGGCACACGGCGTGAGGAGTGCGTGTGCGCGTGCTGTACTGTATATGTTTATGTGCCTTGGGATCCCCCTGTGCCCATCCATCCTGCGTGAATGCGTACAAAGCAGCGCTATGGCACGTTTGGGGCCTTCTTCTTCTTGGGGGGGTTTCGGATGGAGCCTCCTCATGGCTTGATGCGCTCGTGTTACTACAGCATCACGCCTCGATAAAAGGGACGTGTCATTGAGAACAGCGTGGTCCTGGGAAAACGCAATCCGCTGCAATCCCCCGCACTCACACTCTCACTTTACGCAGGGGCCATGATTCGGAGAGAGCCACACCGCTGTAACCAAGTCGATCTGCGCATTAGCACTTCAGGGCTGGATAAAAAGTGCCCAGAAGGGGTAGGAGCTTATGCCAGTGAGTTTTACCATTTGTGAATTTTGGACGTGAAGGAACAGAATAATATAGTAATAATAAAAATGTTTTTGTATAGGAAAAGTACACTGCCATGTTCTTTGTTATTCACTTTTTTGTTGCAGATTGTACATGTTTTCTTAAGATTCCACAATGATCCTATTTATAGTTGTGATGAAATACATTAAATAAATCAAACTCTGTAAGTGTTGAGTTTACTGGACTTGAATACTACTGGAGTAAAATGATAATTCATGGTCAAAACCACAGTGTAGTCTTGACAAAAGTCCATCAGAAATACCAGCGCTTTCATTGTGTTTTTGATGCCTACTGCACAAATATAATCCAGGAGTTGTATTCTTCCTATATGTTGCCTTCCAGACACTTCTGTGCGCACTGGGGCAGTATGTGGCAGTATGTGGAGGCGTCTGGGGGAGAGTGGGGACTGTGGAGTTTGCTGAGTAATGTTTTGGCATTATGGTCGTGAGTGAAGGATATGCCTATATACAAGTTTTATTTTGTGCGATATCAGTTTGAGCCATAACAGCAGAATCAAATAGGCCTGGGATATCATTTTAATGGAGAAAAACAAAAACACTTCGCTTGGTCTTGATATACAGTATATACCCACTTTCTTTAAAACACTGTTTATTAAAAAGCTGTTCCATTATAAAGGTGCACTTACAGATTAAACGAATGCCGGTTCAGAAGTCTATTTACTTGTGATATTCCACAAACAGTAGTATATATGAAGCTTTTGTTTTTCTTTGTTGATATTTATGGATCTGTAAAAACCCTCAAATAAATCATCGCAGAAAATTAGAATGTTTTGAAAATGGACTGAAAGAGCACATAGGCTTGGCAAATGTCAACATATGTGTAATGAGTCTATTTCAGGCATGGGCAAACGGATCCTCCTGAGGGCCACATTAGAATATCCGCCTGCTGTTGTGTGCCGGACCTTATTCCCAATGTTTTCCTTAGGCTTAATTTTTGACACGTAAATGTATTAAAAAGTTAGAGATTTTATTTTATTTAGTATAGAGTTATTGTTAATTTACCTTGTGCTCAGTGCTCCTCATTCCGACTGCTCTGTAACCGGTGATGAAAAAACTTTATTGATCTCACAATAGAGAAATATACATGTCACATTTTGGCATAAATAGTATCACTTATGGTGTGCAAAAAGACAGAAAATGTACAAAAATGTTTAAAAAGTGAAAAGATTTTGTGCAAGGAGCGCAACTGTGCCCTCAGAGGGATTTTATCGTCTTAATACTAATCTGCATTTCGTTGCATTGTTCTGAATTTGTAATGACAATAAAGTTGAATCTAATCTACATCTGTATAAACTGACGATGACTAGGGGCCTGATAGAAACATCCAAAGGGCCGCATCTGGCACTCGAGCCGAGGTTTTCCCACGACTAGTCTGTATCATATATCGGTTTCACATTGTAAGTTGCAGAAATACATATCATTTTTAACAATATTATAATTTTCCGAGTTTGTATGTGTATATTTGTGAGGAGAATCTATTGTACTATTTATGTGGAACGACATAGGCTCAGAAACAGCTGTAGGAGACATGCAAACATATACATTATTTAGCTACAGTACTTCATGTGTGTACAAAACTAAGATGGCAGTGAGATAAAATATGAACTAGTTACTCATTTCCAGTTAAATGCAGCTCTATATGCAAACTCTTTGAACCTCCTGTCCTGTACTTCTGCTGGCCAATTACACGAGAAAGCGACTGAAGTGACGTGACGTTTTGTGGAAAGGCATATTCTTCCTCCCGACTGTGTCTTCTTCTTCTTCAAAGCTGTGTAAAGCAAATGGAGTTCACATGAATCCTGATCAAATCTAATTTCCCCACTCCAGGAACATTGTTGTATTGATTTTGTGGCTCATCACCCCCTCTGTGCGTATACGCCTATACTAACACAAAAATGAATAGAGTCTCCCTACAATAGTTAGTTTGCTGTTTCTGCCTGTGTCTGTCAGATATTCTTGTTTGTCCAATCTCTTTTGTTTCACCTTTTTTATTGATTGACCTTTTTTTGGTTGTAGTTGGGGCTTCTTTTTTGTTTTGAGTTGTCATTGCCAACTGTCATGAGCTGTCAGGCCTTGAAATAATGCAGATAAAGACATTAAAGGACATTTATGCACCAATAGTAACATTTATAGACATTGGTCGTCCTGGTCGTCCCGCTCTATATGGACCAATGGCTCCTACAGTATGTGTTTGTTACTATTGTATTGTTTGATTCTTGGATCTGCTGTTGGTGAATCGACATCTCTGTAAAGTCCTCTGCTGTTTTGATTTAGGGCAATGCAAAAATACAGGAAAATTAATGTATTGTCGTATCGTTGTGTCGTTTTGAAGCATTGACAGCTACTTTTCTCTGTATATTTTGTGTGCTCCTTGTGTCTTCTTACTTCTGTCTTAGTGCGCTACAACACTGAAATTTCCCCACTGTGGGACAAATAAAGGTTCTCTGCTCTTATTATTAATGGGACTCCCAGAATTTTGAAACTACTAGAACTCCCAGAGCCGTCATTTTGACTGATCCCATTCAAATCAATGGAAATCTGAAAACTTTGTGAGGTTTCCATTGGTTTTATTCAAATTTACTTTTACTAACTTTTAAAACAAGCTAAAACTGGTGAATATAACTTGAAATTATTAAAATATATACATATAACTATTATTATATGAACATGTGAACGAAGCATTTTCATGAAAGGAACAAATGAAATACAAAAATACAAAAAAAATACATTTAAATACGGTTTGTTGAAAGGCTAATGCTAACTGCTTGCTAGTTAACAGTTTGTTGCTATGGTTACTAGCGTTTGCTCCTCTACTCCATTTTGTTGACATAGAAAAAAACAACATAAAGAAACAAAAACAGTCACAAAGTTATGAAAATCAAAACTCCCACACTCCCAAAACTAAAAGCCATCAAATTGACTGCTCTGGGAGTTCTGCTGTTAAAGATAATTGGACTTATAGACCGTGTCAACAACAGCAGAGAAGACTGTTTCACAACTGCTGTCATGAGTTGAGCCCATTGGAAAGTCCAGCACACTGTACGCTTTTATCGTGTTCTTTAGGCTCATATGTTTCTTTATTTTTAGACGTATAAATCATAAAGCGACGTCTGTGGTGTAGGAAAGTGACAGCACCAGTGTGAGAGGCCTTTGTTCCCTGCAGACCAGTTTACATACTATTTTACTATCTGACTTCCCTCTGTGAATACTGGCATTCAAAGTCCTGACAAAAGTCCACAGAGTTCCTCGAGTAAATATAGACTGGTGAAGAGGAAACTGACCACACAGTTTATGTAATAGCATCAAAACCACTGCGAGATTTCAGAGCCTAAGCAGCCAACAGGTTTGATCTGTTAGTATTACTTTGATGTGGAAAACAACAAAACTGGTCAAATTTGGGGTATGATGAATTTGATATGTGAAGGAATGTATTGTTCAAAGTGTCACAGGGCATGTATATGATTGGCTTACAGTTCGTCACATCTCTCTCTAATCTAGTATCATGCTAAATCAACTTAGCTTTTCTCCATTGCTACATGCTTCCGTCATCATAAAAAGACTTGGAGTTGTTTTTAGATCTATCCACTGTGGTTTAGAAAGGTTCTTGTCCCCTTGGTAGACAACGTTTTTTGGCTTGTCTATTCTATACCAACTAATGTAAAATAGTGATAATATTGCCATCTGACATTTGTTTGGAATGGAAAAAACAAATAGCTTTATCCACCCTGACATGTGTTTCTGCTCCTACTGGACACCGGAATTTCTCCTATGGGGGATCAATAAAGTATCAATCAGGAACTTCTGGCATAAACATGTAGCTCCGCCCCTTCTGTCTGAAAGTCCCCATCTCCGTCCTGTACCACTATGACATCACACTCAGAGCAGTTTTCTGACTTTTAAAACAACAGTATTAACCATACATTTTTTAATAATCATACGTTTTGTGTTTGTGTTTGTTGTCAAGGGTTTACAGAAATGGAAAAAAGGATATCCAGAATGTAGATCTTATGAATGCCTTTAGTAGGAGTTAGGGTTAGTTAGTGTGTATTAGGTTTAGGTTTAATGTAACTGGATTTGGGTTAGGGTTAAAATCTAAACAATGTCTCATTATCGGCAAGATGGGGAACCAAACCTGCCCTCTCCTCCGCGCAGTTAGATCCGGCCCTGCTGGTTTCCGCCGTGTGTGTGTGTGTGTAAGTTTGTGACGTGATCCGTGGTGCAGATGGGTGCTGCGTGTCTGCCCCTGACCTTCACACAGTCCCTGATTCCCACATCTCATTCTGGAGTCCATGATGAGGGCTTATTCTCTGCTCCTCCGGCAGACAGACTCAGCCACGTCTCACTGCTACGTCACATTTTTGATATAGGGCCCCATCAGACGACGG